CCTATGTCGATTACTCTGGCTCTACTTCTGATATCTTAACTTACAGAGAACCCCTGAGCATAGCCCTTTTCGTAACTAGCTGATTGAGAATAGTTTAAAAGCTTTGTATCTCGTTATTCTAGTGGTCGGGCCAAAATTAGTCATCGCGTTTTTCTGTCAAAAAAATCTTAGTAGCTGCAAAGAGTCTGGAAGTTTACGGTGTTTTACTCCCACGCCTTGGAAAGCGCGTAAATCCATTGGATCCTTGAACCTGGAATATAAAACACAGACCACATGACCAGCAGTCACGTTTTCGACCAAATGACTAACGAGACATTCAGAAATTAAGTGACTAGAGTGCAGTAAGGAGGTGTACTACAACACACATAGCTTCTTTTTTCATTAAAGTTTCTAGAACCGTGGCCGCTCACTGGATAAGGGTGACAAACGAACAACAGTCCACCTGATGGTAAGTGGCCAAGTGGTGAATGCTGTGGCCCATAGACATCAACATGTATTCTCGATAAAGAATCAAAATGCAGATATGTTGTCACCGCTGAGGACTAAGATACTCTCCATTCTCTACACACACCATACGAAACACAGCAGTGTTAAGCTGCTATTTTACGCTGGTATTCTGTGAAAGCATAGTCCTTCCCCGGTCGAGCCGACCCATTCTTGCTATTACTATAATATAGCTGCAGTGTGACTATACCCCGTAAAAGTCAACTACTGGACACAGGAAATCCTTGGATTTGCATTAATTATCACGCTTGTCCAACGGATAGAATTTAGCATTACCAGACGTCTCGCATCGTTGATATTCTAACCCCTCGCAGGTCTGGTTATTTTGTTTACGACATAAACAAGGCGGTTATAGGTACTTTGATATTTTTTTAGAGGATAAGGGTGACAAACGAGCACACAGTCCACCTGGTGGTAAGTGGATAATGTCGTATAAAGACATCTACATTTATCCTCAATTAAGTAGTATCAAAACGCAGATGCGTTGTTACCGTTGAGGACTAAGATGGAATGCCTCGTTATTCCATCTTAGTACATTTAAAGGGGTCTCCAGTTCCCTACACTCACCATACTGAACACAGCCGCATTTAAATATTTTACGCTGGTATTCTGTGAGAGCGTGGTCCAACCCCGGTCGAGCGGACCCATTCATGCTACAACAATAATGTAGCTGCAGAGTGGCTTAACCATGTAAAATGACAGATGACATTTCTCATAGTCGCCTGATGCAACCACAAGATGACATGAGGTGAGAAATTCTTTTAAGTCATTACCACATGGCTATTTTTACCAAATGGGATGTTGGCTGTGATAAGGCCGCACCCACACTCATAGAGACCGGATTTTTATTATCAAAGCAAAAGTAAGCAGTGGAATTACCGCCTTTATACATCCCACTGTCAAGTACAGGCCTTCTCTCAGTTCGAGATGCTTTTAGGTGCAATAAGACTATCCTTCCATCACACTACCCGAGTTTTTTTAATAGGATATAGTGACAAACGAGCACACAGCCCACCTGATGGTAAGTGGTTGTTGTGACCCATAGACATCCACATCTATCCTCAATAAAGAATGCAGATGCGTTGTCACCCGTGAGAACTAAGATGGAATGCCTCTTTTCCAGTAAAAAGGGTCTCCGGTTCTCTACACTCACCATGCGAAACACAGCAGCATTAAGCTGCTATATTACGCTGGTATTCTGTGAGAGCGTGGTCCTTCCCCGGTCGAGCCGACCCATTCGAGCTACAACTATTATACTAATATAGCTGCAGCATGGCTCTACCACGTAATAAATGTATGTGAGTTTGCGGTGTTGATACGTCCTCAAATATTTTTCCTCCGATATACAGATTTCCTCTTAATAGTCAATAAAAAACTTTAGGATTTAAATTAGGCAAGAATTTTTAGTAAAATGTATTCGATTTTAATAAAATATTAAGTATTCCTCGCTGAGGTAATCTATGTGGAGGTTCCTACATTCAGCAATGACAATTTTGACGGGATTGTTATAAATTAATAAATGAAAGGAAGTAATAAAATTATCATAGCCTCTAGATGATTGGTACAGGACTTCTGGATTTCCTTGCAACTTAAACACTACTATGTAAAATGACAAAAGGAAAATCATAGACATCATACTTATATTATAATATTATGCAAATAACAAAACAGCTTCTGTAAGGTAAGCAAGTGCAAATCAGTAAGTAATTTACTAAGTTCCCGTAGTATATATATATATATATATATATATATATATATATATATATATATATATATACTACGGGAACACTTTCACGGTATCCTCCGGCAGCCCTCCGCGGTAGAACAAGAACACAATGCGCGCCTTTCTTCGCGGCCTATAACTCCACCTGCGAAGAAAACCTACATTTAAATCTGATAGTACATTAGACCCTGCCAATTTTATATCAATTTCTAATAAAAAATTTCTAGTAAAATTTTTTTAAAAATCATTTTAGATCAGATGTTAAGTTGCTTTAATATAATATTTTTTTGTCCTTAAAGAAAACGTTACTAAAACTACGTCGTGGACGTAGCTTACAAACATAAATTGCACGAGGACAAACATTAAATGCTTCATAAAAATCAATTTGGTTTTACAAGCGGTTAATGACAACATATTTTTGTGCATGGGAGAATTCAGAGGATGGTTTGGGTATATTTTGTGACCTTTACAAGACCTTTTGCTTTTGCTGTCGCACGGATGGGCCGGCTCGAAGCGGGGTGGTACCACGACCTCACAGAAAACCAGCTTGAAGTAGAGATTTACCTCTGCGTTTCGCTTGGTGAGTGCAGATAGCCGGAGGCCCTTTTTACTGGAAATGAGGCATTCCATCTTAGTTCTCACGGGTGACAACGCATCTACATTTTAATTTGTAATAGAGGATAGATGTATATGTCTATGGGCCGCAGCAACCACTTACCATCAGGTGGACTGTGTGCTCGTTTGTCACCCTTATCCTATAAAAAAAACCTTAGACTGTGTTCACTATGAGACATTATTCAGGAAGTTACAGTACTATGGTGTCAAGAACACAGCGCTTAAACTTATTATTTCATATTTAAGTAATAGAACGGAGCAAGTTATTATCAATGGTAAAAGTTCTTCCGGGTCCTGTAATAATATAGGTGTGCATTAAAGCCCAATTCTCGACCCATTCCTATTTCTAGTGTATATTAATGACTTACCTTCCCTTGTAGGGAGGGGATAATCATGATATAGTATTATTTGCTGATGATATTTCCTTGATTTTTAAACTTAAACGTTAATCATTTAAATGTGAAATGAATAATGCTATATAAAAATTAGAGCATTGGTTTAACGTTAATAATCTACATTTAAACGGTAATAAAACTAAATATATTAAATATATAACACTAAATGTTAAAATCTGAATACCAGTGTATTTTTTAAATAGGGAACTGAGCCCTGTTGAATCCACTGTTTTTCTTGGCATCACTCTCGACGGAAAGCTTCAGTGGGGCCCCCATATATCCAAACTAGCAAGCAGACAAAGCTCTGCAGATGTAAAAAGATTAGAGATCTCACTAGTGTAGAGACAGCTAGATTAGTTTATTTAAGTTATTTCCATAGCATAATGTCTTATGGGATTTTACTATGGGGAACTGCGATTAACTTAGAAACTATTTTTGTTTTGCAGAAGATGGCCATAAGAGTTATTTACAACCTAAAACCGAGAGAGTTTCTTAGAGAAAATTTTAAAGAACTTTAACTTTAGCCTCTCAGTATATTTACGAAAATTTAATGTATGTTCACAAAAACAAAGGTAATTTAAGCAAAAAAGTGATATACACTCTGTAAACACTAGAAACAAACACAAGTTGGTGATAACAGTTTCTCGACTCTACAAAGTCAGTAATTAATTCTTGGGGCAATGTATACGCTATTACAACAAATTCCTAGAAAATATACAAGGTCTGTCTATTACTAAAACTGTATGTATAAAAAGGTTATTATAATTTAAATTAATACAGGGTTGACAATAACCCCTGGAAATAAGGTGGTCGCTTCTAAGCTCTCATATTGTAAAATGTACTTTAAAAAAATCCCCCTGGGTTACTTGCTGGTTTTTCCCAGGACAGAGGTTTTTTACTTTCAATGAGAATTTCATACATGTTATCTAGGTTGAACAAAAAATTATATTCTTTTTTTCATATTTTCATGGGCCAGGAAATACGAGCACTCGAAACCACCATCCTTCCTGACCACAGTGTCGGAATTATCCTATGCCTCCGCCGCCGACCAAATTTCGGCCGAGGAGGTTATAAAAAGCGTTGCCTTGCAATACCGACATCCGCCGCGTCCCACCATTCGGGGGAGTTGGGGGTTATAACTTGTAGTGTTATGCTACTCACGTATCATTTTACATTATTTTAAATTCATTTTTCCATTCTGTTTCGATTTTCTGCATTCACCTCAAAACTGGATATTTTACATCACCTTTATTTCCATAGGATCCTGTAACGATTTTAAACCATAAGAACACAATAACAAATCATTTCTACTTCGTATTTTCACATTATCAGCACTTTTAAATTGGTGTCAATGGAGTCTACCTTTTTTTCGATCTTTTAGCTAGTTTTCCGTAACTCTACAATCTTGGACTTTGTGTGGGCAGTTGCGCTACCTTTTTTACTATATCAATAATATCTCATTTTCCACTTTTTTTTTTTTTTTTTTTTATGGCAACCTTACAATTACTGCCAACCTCCAGTCAATAAATAATACTTGTAAGAAACGGCGAACAATAAAAATGAAAACTATGATTCTGATTAAAAACCGAAAAAGATTAAGAACTAATGAAATATGAAATGACTTGTACTGAAGTTTATTCAATAAATGAAGAACATTATAATTATATAGAATTAAAATAAAATAAAACTGAACTCATTACCACATTTAAAATATTAAATAAAACTATATAAATACTATTAAATTCTAAATAATGAATAAAATTTTATAACTTAATATTATTTAAATCTAAATATTCCATAAGGCAATTGAAAACATTTTTACTTTTTTTAGAATAAATTAAAAGAGAACGAATTTCTGTAGGTAAAGGTATTTTCAGTTTTACCAAAGTGTTAAATAATGAAGTGTGATCATATAAAGGACATGAGAAGAATATATGGTTGAGGTCACCAATATCTAAACCACACTCACATATAGAAGTATTTTTAATATGAAGCCTAGCAAGGTGAACCGAATTACAACAGTGACCCAAGCGCATTCTACATAACATTGATGTATGTTTCTTATTTAAGGTTAATTTATAAAACCAAGGCTTAGAAGGAATGGAGGGTTGAATTTTAGCATATTGACAGCCTTTTGTCGTTTTGGTTTTGTCCCAATGGTTTGACCACCTATTTCTATACAATAATTTCGTATTCCTTATAAGGTCATAGCAATAATTTTTAAATAGGAATGTGTCCCCACAGACAATAGCTTGTTTAGCAAGTTTGTCAGCATATTCATTACCAGATATACCAATATGACTAGGAATCCAAACAAGAGAAATGTTGATGTTTTGAAATTGGTATAAGAATAGAAGTTTCTTAATTTCAAATATCAAAGGATTGCGGGAAATGTCATAGAAAGGATTACATAACAATGCCTGTAAAGAACTAAGAGAATCTGAAAATATCACGCTTGATTTTAATTTAAAACTATAGCAATATTTTATTGCTTGTAAAATGGCTAACATTTCTCCTGTAAAAACTGAAGATTCGGGAGGACTTTTCATTTTTTGAACTATTCTCCAATTTTGATGGTATATTGCGTAGCCAGTACAACCTTTAGAGTTAATTTTAGAAGCGTCTGTAAAAATATAATGATAACCTGGAAAATTCTTGTCCAACGCAAACATAAATTTTTTATTTGATTCAATAGAAAATTTATTTAATCCTATATCTAATATAACATTGGGTTTGTAAAGTGCAACATCAAACGAATTGGAGAAAAGAGGCAGAGTCACCGACCTATGAATTGGATCTAGGAAGGAATTATATTGTTCATAGCTTTTTACTAGATTAGGTGTTTCTTTATTACGCCAGTATTTTCTTAAATTAATTAATATGTAATGAGAAAGTAAACGAATTTTAGGGATTAGTGGATGATTGGAAAATTGAAGAACACGAAAAAAGAAAGCATCTGATAAATATTGTCGTCTAATAGAAAGCGGAGGATCACCGCATTCAATTTGCAGGGCATTGATAGGCGATGAATTCATAGCGCCTAAAATTAATCTTAAAGACTTGTGTTGAACGATATCTAAAATTTTCAATCCTTTCTTATTAGCAGGTACAAGAAGAAATGAGGCATAATCTAATCGACTTCTTATAATTGCATTATAAATTAATTTTAAAGAATATGGATGGGCGCCCCACCATACTCCGCACAAAGCTCTTAGAATGTTTATATTTTTTTCGCATTTTTTTTGGGTATAAATGATATGAGGCATACCGGATAATTTATTATCAAGAATTACACCAAGAAATTTAACTTGGTGAATATTTTTGAGCGGATAATTAAGAAGGCGAACCTGTATTTCTGGTAAAACTCTTTTGCGGGAAAAAATTACTGTATTACTTTTACTTGGGGAAAGTTCAAGTCCATGATCAACTAACCACGTGGCCATAGAGAGGAGATCTTGTTCTATCGCATTAGCACAGGATTCTATACATTTATCATTTACATAAACTAAGATATCATCAGCGTATTGCAAAATTCTACACTTTGAAATGGACTGGTCTAAATCTGACGTATAAATATTGTATAATAAAGGACTTAAAACCGAACCTTGCGGAAGACCTTTGAAAACCTTGCGAGTATATTTTAAATCATCATCAAATTTAATATGTATATATCGATCTAGAAATAAATTGATAATCAAATTTGTAAGTTTTTTGGATATATTAAGCTTGAACATCTTTTCTCTAAGGATGTTAAGTCTAACATTATCGTAAGCAGAAGAAATGTCAAGAAAAGCAGCAAGGACCGATTCATTTCTTGAAAATGCTAGTCTAATATCTGTGGTGAAGATTGAAAGACTGTCATATGTGCTTTTACCTTTTCTGAATCCATATTGAGTATTTGATAATAATCCATGACTTTCTACATACCATTCAAGACGATTCTTGATCATGTGTTCAAAGGTTTTAATTAAAGTTGAGGATAGAGCAATCGGTCGATAGGAAGAGCCATCGTTAGGGTTTTTGTTAGGTTTCAAGACAGGAAGAATTACTTGAGTCCGCCAAGAGTCAGGAACAAAACCTATGTCAAACAAAGCGTTAATGATATTTAAATAGAAGGTTAAAATTTGATCGTTACATTTGGCTAGTAGTGAATACGGAATACCGTCTAGACCAGGTGCCGAATCATGGACGTGAGAAAGGACAAGCTTTAATTCATTTAGAGAGAATGGACGTTCTAAGGGATCAAAAAAAGGTTCACATGGAATACTTTGAGGTAGCTCCTCTCTTGAAGGAGCAGAAGAGGGGGCAAGTTTGTCAAGAAAAGAATTTATTGATTGAGAGGGAATGGCACCACTGTAAGAACAAGATGAAAAACAATAACGAAATTTTCTTATATTACGCCAAACAACTGATGAAGGAATTGAGGGAGATATTGAAGAACAAAAGGCATGCCAACTTGTTTGTTTTTTGGCGCGAAGAGTATTTTTAGTTACTTCTTGTATACGTTGAAGGTGTGAATAGTTTTCTGAACTCATGTCTAATTTATATTGTTTTTCGGCTTTTTTCCTATTATGAATGGCCTCAGTACATTCAGAATCCCACCATGGAGGGGAGGGCTTACATTTATTATTTAAAGATTTAATAGGAATTGTTTGGTCTGCTGCATTTATAATTGCGTTTGTAAATGCTTCAACAATTGAAATTAAATTATTTTCAGAAATAGGAGCAATTTTTAGAATTTCATTGTAAAGAATACTATTATACAAGTTCCAGTCTGCTCTGTCTAATTTGTATTTAATACAAGGTTTTTTGTTAATTTTTGCCGATTCTTTGTTTGGAAAGGAAATCAGAATAGGAAAATGATCACTGCCGTGAGAGCTATCTAAAACTGTCCAATTTAAAAGAGAGGTTAAATCAGGGGTACAAATTGATAAATCTACAGCACTTCTAGACTCATTGGGACGAGAGCGTTTGGTGATTTTACCAGTATTAAGGACGCCAATGTTAAGTTCGTCAAATATTTCAACTAATAAACTGCCGAATCTATCACAATTATCACCCCATAAATAATGATGGCAATTAAAATCACCAAGAATTAAAAATGGTTTGGGTAACGAGGCTATTAAAGATTTTATTCTGCGAAACGTATGGACAGACGGGGAGGGAACATAAATAGAAACAAAAGTAATATTTTGAATTCTTACTGATACTATATTGAAGTCAAATATTTCATCATGAATATCTACAATGGTATAAGCGATATTATTCTTTATAAGTAAAGCACATCCGGCATAACCATCAGATCTGTCATTTCTAACACAACAAAAACCAGGGATTCTGATGTTGGAATCCGGTTTCAGCCATGTCTCTGAAATAGCAGCGACACAAACATTGTATTTTTTTAATAGATAAATTATTTCAGTGCGTTTATCAAAAATGCTTCTACAATTCCATTGAAGGATCTTTGTGAGAGTGAATGTCGTGAAGAATTTCAGGAATAGAATTTAGTAAGCGAGCAACGTGGGACGGTAATTTTGACGAATACGAAGATATTATTATGTTAATAAGGGAATTTATGATGCTTTCTATAGAATTAAAACTACCCTGTGAAGTATCACGTGAAACCCGAAGAGCACAACCATCCTCTGGTTGTGGAATTGAAAAATCTTCAATAATTTTTTGATGAATTTTTTTGTCGTATCCTGTTAGTGTATGGTGACGGAATGATTTAGGAGTAAATAATGATTTCTTATAAGAAGTTTTACTAGATGAAGCAGCATGTGAAGGAAAATGATCCTTTGAAGGATTAGTAGAAAGAGAAGAGTTTATAGGGTTTTTTGATATCAGAACATCAGCATATGACTTTGATGAAACTTGGGGATATTTTTGTGATGCTTCTAGGTATGAGATTGAATTTTGTGCCATTTCGATTTTAATATTATTTTGACGTGTGTGTTCAGGGCATCTAGAATCCGTAGCTTTGTGGTTACCTGAGCAGAATAAGCAACGAAAAGATCCATTATCTTTATCGCAAGAAGAAGAAGAGTGATCATCGCCACATTTTGAGCATCTTGGCTTGGAACGACATAAATCTTTAGTGTGTCCAAATCTGCAGCACTGAAAACATTGAATGGTTGGAAGTTTATAAATTTCAACAGGGATGGAAGAATAACAAAAATAAACTCTCGAGGGAAGAATTTGACCGTCAAATGTGACTACGACACTTTCAGAGCTTTCATATCTGAGTTTTTCTTCATTGCGTACTCGGTAATTTACTCTTCTTACTTTTAATATAGGAATAGTGTTTGGATACGTAGATAATTCAGAAATAATATCTTCTGGTGTCCAATCTTTTGGTACACCTTTTATAACACCCATACGAGATACGTGGAAGGATGGAATAAACGTTTTATATTTATCATTTACAGAGGGATTTTCTAAAAATAGATTTGCATCAATAAATTTAGAGAATTCAATTGTAATTCTATTCCTCCCGATACGTTTTAGGCCTCCATTAACTATATTTTGAATATTTAATTTTTTCAAAAAGTGACCAAAAGAAATAGCATTTAAAGTCTTATCAGAATTAGGAGAATCTTCTTTTACTTGAACATGCACGATAAAAGGACCCGAATCTGTAGAATTATAAGGGCGAAGAGATTGAAATTTTTGAGAATCTGTTTTTGCATTATCCCCATTTATACTTGTGTTAAGAGATTTAGAAGAGATATGACTATAGGCAGAATTTGATGTTTGTGGTAGAGGAATGTCAGATGATTGAGAAAGGGGGATTAAAGATGATTGAGTACACGCAATATTAGATGATAAAGACATGGGAGATTCATAAACATTTTGTCCTGATATGTTACCTTGGTTAGAGTTAGATCCCATAATTTTAATTTTAGATGAAGAAATATTACCATTATCGCAATCCGATTCTGAGAATGAAGAATTGGTGGAAAAAACTGAAATTTTTCTATTTAAGTCAACCCGATTAGCATGTTCTTCTTTCTTCCTTTCTTTCGTTTTATGTTTCCTTTTCTTTTTATTGGAAATAATTTTGAAGTTGTCATCAAAAATTTCTTGCGATAATGACTGCCATGGTTTTTTAAATGAACCTTCTAAGTCATTTTGAATTTCGACATAAGCAGCTGGAGAAGAAATAATGTTAGGATCTGAGCAATTCGGATCCGGTGGTTTAGGCGGAATAGATGGATTAGACATGGCGACTGTGAGAGTCTAACGCTACGTTAGACTATTTTCTAATACTAAGAAATTGACGCTAAATGAGTGATAATATGGAAATACAGATAAATATTATTAATATATACTATAATAAATTAGGAATGTAATCAGAATATTAAACGAAAACTTAAAATAATTAATATGACACCAAAAATACGTAAAACCGTTATTGACGTTCAGTTGCCCCTCATCATTTTCCACTTAAATCTTACCGTTTTCTTATTATAAACCAAAAACAAAAATTTGACATATTTTGTCTTTCTTATTTATATCGTTTCCATGGTAATTATATTCAAATTTGCTACCGATCTGTTATTCCTATTTCGATAAATTCCACATAAATCCTCTTTTCTCTTGACCATTTACAAAAAATTTGCGTATAATTTAAATAATTTTTCCGTTCTCTCTAGAAAGGTATAAAAGCCGAACAATCGGTGAAGAAAGGCAGTCTCGCTTCAGTTCGCGAATTAGAAGTATCTCCTAAAGGCCTTATCCCGGGGCCGCACTGCCCCGGGATCCTGCAAGCCTCCATTTACACGTGAATTCTTCGGCGAAGCCTTCTTCAAACTCGGGCCGCGCCACTCCGGAATCCTACAAGCCTCCATCTACCTCGGAAGTCGCTTCGAGTCTACTACAAGCGCGGGGGCCACACTACTCCGGGCACTACTTCTACTTACTCCAGGCGCCGAGTGCACCTACCGCCGGCGCTACCTTTGGGCGCTGCAACTGCTGGCTCTAAGCGTTGCGCGCCCCTTCTCCAGGCGCTACGTGCGCCGGCTCCGGACGCTGCGTGTACTGGCTCCAGGCGCTGCGCGCCGTCGCTGCTAAGAAACCTACTTCTACAAGCGCAAACGGCGTGTGCTGGCTTCAGGCGCTGCGTGCCGTCGCTGCTAAGAAACCTACTTCTACAAACGCAACGTGTGTCGCTTCGACTTTTAGGCCCCACTACAACGCTATATTCCCCTATTCTCTCACCTTTATTTTTTTTATAATCTAATTGTATTCTCACTTCATCCATCATCATCCTCACATCATTTTTTTTATAAAATTGTAAATACCTTTTATAAATTTAAATATATTGTTTTTCTGGCTCTACTTTTGTTGTTTTGTTGTACTTAGGTTAGGTTCTATTTTTTTTTATTGTCGCTTCACGACATTTGGCGCCCAACGTAAAAGTCCTCTTTCTCTCTTAATTCTTCACCTTTACTGCGCCTTGTCCATTCCCTTTTGAATTAATTGCTCTCCCTTTCGTTCTTAACTCATTATTCTTCATTCATTTATTCATCCTTTTCATACCTTCCAAATTCTAAAACAACACTTCATCTAGTGTTTCAACTTATCTGGCTTATATTTAGATCTACATTTAACACTTCACTTACATTCATCACTTTAATATTTTTATTCTAGAACAAAACTTCATCTAGTTTTTCAACTTATCTAGATTATATTTAGACCTACATTTAACACCTTACTTACATCCATCACTTTAATATTTTTATTCTAGATAAATTAAAGAGGTATAATTTTTAATTAAATTTTTATTTCTTAAACTTAACTTTACACATAATTATAACAATGAAAAGGGTTATTAAGTACGAATTTCTTAACAAGGCCGAACTCGAATACGAAGTGAAGATTAGATGTGAGGAACCAGCTAATACTGTTTTACTTCTAAAAAAACAGGTTTTGCGTTTAGTTGCGAATTCTCACCCTGAAGATATTCTGACTTCTACAATTCCGATTGAGGATGACTTGTCTCAAATTGATTCTACCTTGACCTACTTGGACTGTAAAATTAAAAAATTTTTACAAGGCGAAACCAAATACTTGCGACTAATAGAAACTTTTATTAATCATATCTTTTACAGATTGGAACGAATAGATACTGACTTATATCCAGACTTTAAAGCTATTTTCGATACTTTGAAGATGAAATATGACGATATTACTAAACAATTTGAATCCTTGACTCCAGCTCCAACTGAAAATGACCCTCCTGTTGACCCGACTGTCACGGTTGACCCGACTATCACGGAACTCCCTCTTGTTTCTCAAAATTCTATTCAGGTCCATACCCCGTATCCTTCACCACCACCTCAATCTTTTTCTCCAACCAACGTCTTCAAAGATCTGAAAAGGCACACCTTCAATGGTAAAAGCTGTCCAAGATCCTTTCTTCAAAAACTGGAAGAATACTGTATAGCTCGTGGCTTGTCCAAAGACTTGTTGATTTCACAAGCGTTTGAAATTTTCACTGACAATGCTCTTCATTGGTTCAGATTTAAATATAATCAAAATCCAAACTTAACGTGGAACGAACTTTCTTCGTTATTAATCAAAGACTTTGGTGGTTTTGATTATGATCACAAACTTTTAGAAGCGATTAGGAATCGAACTCAAGGTCGAGATGAACCTATTGTCATCTATATTTCCATCATGTCTGGAATGTTTTCTCGTCTTTCGAAGAAACTTTCTGAAACAGAACAATTGGAGATTATTTTAAGGAATATTCGCCCATGTTATTCAGTCTTCGTAGCTCTAAAAGACATTGACTCTATCGACTCTCTACTGGCTACTTGCCAAAACTATGAAAAATTCCTAGACAGAGACAAACAATTTAAAGAACCAAATGTACAACAAAGTCCTCTTGTTTCTGAATTCAACTACAAGCATTCCACTTCAAGTTCAGTTGATTCTCCAAATTCTTCTAAAAACTCACGACCCTCTCCTCCCCTCATGAATAAATTCACTCCATCCTACAAATACCCTTCTAGACAAGTTAATAGTCTCTCTCAAACTAAAGCTCCTCAACAAACCTCCTTTTGTGTTCGCTGTCGTAAACAAGGACATTCTTTGAACACTTGTACTCAACCACGATTCGTGATTTGTTTCAAATGTGGTCTTAAGGGTTTTAAAACTGCAGATTGCCCTACTTGTTCTCCCAAACCTAATACTAGTTCAAAAAAACTAACTACTGACTTGAAAAGTAACTTAAACTTTGATAACGACGATTGGACTAATTGGATTAAAACAATTCAAAACTTCTTTTCTTGTTACAGAATCTCTTCTACACTCTACTCCAAGGAACAAGATCTTAATCGTCCATTTATTAATGTCAAAATTTATAACTTAACTTTATCTGGTTTACTAGATTCTGGCAGTTCAGTAACTATTCTGGGTAATAATTCTCATTTGGAAATTCTTAAACTGGGCTGCAAACTTTTCAAGACAGATCTTATTACTGTCTCTACTGCTAATAATCAAAAAGTTAATTCCTTGGGTTATTTTGACTTACCTATTCATTTCAATAATCAAACTCATTTAATTAAAGCTTACGTTTTCCCTGAAATTTTTCCTTCGCTAATATTAGGTATTGACTTTTGGAGAAAATTTAATCTTTTACCTAGTGTTTTATCTTCTCTTAACTTTACAGAATCTAAATGTTCTGCTATCGAAACTAAAGATACTAAAAGTTTTACCTTATGAGCATTTAACTCCTAATCAAAAGAACATCGCTAATGACATCATCCAACGCTTCAAGACAATTTCTTTTGAAGAAAAAGGTATTCTGGGATGCACACACTTAATCACCCAATTGATTGACACTGGTGATTCTCTCCCAATCAAACAAAGATGTTACAGACTGTCTCCTGAAAAACAAAAGGCGTTAATTAATGAAGTTGACAAGATGCTGCGATGGAACGTCATTGAACAATGCGAAAGTCCTTGGTTATCTCCAGTTCTCATCACTCCGAAGAAGAATGGTGAATGGCGTTTCTGCGTAGACAGCAGGAAGCTTAACTCAGTTACACGTCGTGATGCTTATAGTCTGCCACTAATAAGCGAAATTTTGGACAACTTGAGGAATGCCAAATACTTATCAAGCATCGACATTGCGAAAGCATTTTGGGAGATTCCCTTGAATCCTGCTGATAAGGATAAAACTGCATTTTATGTACCTGGAAGAGGTATGTTTAGATTCAAGGTAATGCCTTTTGGTCTTTCTAACTCACCTGCAACTCTACAAAGATTAATGGATATGCTTTTTACCCCTGAATTTGAGAACAAGGTATTTTGCTATCTGGACGACATCGTTATCATTAGCGAAACTTTTGATGAACACATATCACTCCTCATGAAAGTCCATGAAAAACTTTCATATGCTAATCTGACTATTAACTTTGAGAAGAGTCAATTCTTCAGGAAAGAACTGAAATACCTTGGTTTTCTAGTGGACGAGTCCGGTCTACGTGCTGATCCAGATAAAATAAAAGCTATATTAGAATATCCTGTACCTACTTGTAGAAAAGAAGTGCGAAGATTCATAGGCACCTGCAGCTGGTTCAGAAGATTCATTCCAAACTTTAGCACTATTGCCTCTCCACTCAATCAACTAACCTGTTCCGGGAAGAACGCTCCTAAATTTCTTTGGAATTCTCAAGCTGCAGCTGCTTTCCAGAAACTTAAAGAAGCTTTGGTAACTGCTCCTGTCCTTGCTTGTCCTAACTTCGAACTACCCTTCTCTGTACATTGTGATGCATCAAACTATGGCATAGGAGCAATGCTTACTCAACATCAAGATAACAAAGAAGTCGTGATTGCTTACATGAGTAAAGCACTAAACAAAAATCAACAGAACTACTCAACTACTGAAAGAGAAACATTGGCTGTAATAACTGCGTTAGAACATTGGCGATGTTACCTAGACAATGGTAAAGAATTTACAATATATACTGACCATGCTGCACTTAAATGGTTTCAGAACTTATCGAATCCATCAGGAAGACTTGCTCGCTGGACTTTACGCTTATCTTGCTTTAACTTTGTCCTGAAACATAAAAAAGGAAAGGATAACGTTGTTCCAGATTTATTATCAAGACATAAGAATCAAGAACGTCCTGATACACGAGAAATTTCACCTCAAGGCGTACATCCTATTACGATTGAAGAACCACCTGATCGTAAACTTGAGCACTACA